AGATGCCTTAGGATAGTAGCTTAGGGTGGCTTGTCTCATCACTCAATCATTATTTACCAAGTGACACTATTATATTATTTCTGAGCCCGACCCTTGTCTCTGAATCGTTCCCCCTAAAACCTCAGGTCGACACTTGAACACCAGGGCTTCCCCAAGGTCTCAGGAATACGCCATTCTACTCGGCACTTGTACAGGTCGGCACTTCCTGTGGGTATGCAGGACGTTGCCGCGAGTGACTTTTGTCTTTAACCAACTCGGCACCCGTCATCGGTTCGTTGCTTGGTCCTAGCCACGAGGCCGACTTTCCCCGGTCTCTATGGCGGAACCGGTAATTCCCGATCGGGCCGATCCAGATATTAACAATTAAAAAAACAAACCAAATAGAAACTAGTTGAATCCATAAACAATCACCCCCTTACTAACCTGGACAAAATGATATGAGAAATAGAACAAGACAAATATACCCTCATCTTCTACACACAAAACATCAGATTTTTTCCCCTATTTTAGACCCTAAAAATAAATTATAAATATAATTTAAAGATTAATAATTTCAAATTTATCTTAAAGTTATTATATATCAAGTTAATATTCTCATGATGAGCTTATATTTGACATCTATTTAACATACAAAGTAAATATATTATTACATTTTGATGGGTCTCCTCTCAGATCTGGAGTGAACCGATGAAAAACCGCCCAAATCTGGAATGAACCGATGGGAATGAGCTCCGATCTGACTCGATAGCCTCCACACCGTTGTTGGACCTTCAAGACAACCTGCAAGAACTCAACGCCGGAGGGGTTTCCGGCGTAGAGCCTCCGACGCTCAAGTCAGTATGTGAAAGAGATGAGATGGAGAAAGCTGCCCTCAGAGCAGCAGCAGTAATGGAGGAAATTATAGAATGAATGGGAGTTAGGGTTTTGGAGTTACCTCAGCTCCTTTATATAGAAGTAAAACATTTACCTGAAGTCCCCAAAATGCCCTGGCCGACTTATTGGAAATGTCTAAAATACCCTGGTCGGTTCGCATTCCGTCCACCTCCTAGTCAGCATCTAGATTCTTCCTTATCCTTGATAGCTTCCTTCTTATCCTTAACTTTCCTTCGATATGTTGAAGTGTACTGGAGTCGTCGAGATCTATGAGCTTCAAGACTTCCTCAGTCGACTTAGGCTGTCAACTTGAGTCGATTGGGTCATATTCAATAGTTAGCAGATCCTGACGCGTTTGACCGTCTACTCGGAGGAAATCGACTTATGCTAGTCGACATGTGAAAGTCAACTGAGATAAGTGTCGGGACCCTTGACCAGAGATATCATAAAGAATCTGCGGACAGAGTCGACTTTGCGTAAGTCGACTCGATAATCTTTGAACCGTGATGATGTGAACCGTTATACGACAGTGTGGCTATATCATCTATTCCCCCCCAAAATTACTCGAAGCGATTCTGAGCTTAAGAGTAAATCTATCGAGTAGGTAGTTGACAAGTTTTTTGCGCACTGCGCCCCATCTTACATGGCCGTCTAACATCGAGTCGTAGGTTTCTTAGCCATATCCCTATCCTTCAGTCGTCTTCCTTAGCCCGCCGACTTGAGGGCGATTTTTTCCCTCTAGAAATTCTAGTTGTGACTGGATAAATTCGGATCTTCTTTTGAATTTCAAAATTCAAAAAGGTTTTTGGCTCTGACAAGACGTTTCTCTCTCCTCACCGCTTCGCATTCCGCGCCTTATCTACACCATTGGATCTACCTTTGATCTGAGGGTCAGGGCTCATTCTCCCCCTTATAAGTACCCCTTTCCTCTTTCTTCTCACACTTTTCACACTCAGACCTTCTCAACTCTTGCTTTCTCCGGCAAATAAATCGCGAGTTCTCCGGTGTTCGTTTCCTTTTCCGACGCTTTTAGGATTTACCAGGACTTCTCCAATAGTCACCATGTGTAAGCTTCCTTTACTTTCCTGTTTCACTATTATGCGATTTCTTGTTTATTATGCTATATGTTTGAGATTCATAAATTTATCGAATTTTCTGGGATTTCCAAACGATTTTCTGGCGATTTTTCTTCATTAGATCCTTAATAGTGGACTTTTCTTTTTCCAAAGTGTTTTCTTCTCTCTTTTTGTTTAGTAATCAATTCGGTGTTGGAAGTTGGCTCTCCTACCTCCTCCTGCTTGAATTTCCTTCGATTCGGACTTCTTACGTCGACTTTAGTGAATCCGAGATGTCCCGCGAGCTTCCCTTGATCCTTCCTCTATTCTTGGAAGTCGATTCGTAGTTTTAATTTTCTCCGTTATTAATTGCTATTCTCCTTTTTCCTCTCTTTTTCCTTATTAGATCCCGACTCTCCTCCTGTTTCCGATCCTGTTTCCGGCTCCCTTGCCCTTGAAATCGATGGATATTCAAGCTCTGCCTCCGTTGAGATACTTGATGTCAAAACTAGTGCTAATCGAAATGTCGAAACCGAAGGCTCCGTTACTTCTAATGCCTCGCCCTTTGGCATCGACTGGGACGTGTATAATCAGGCATTATTGTCGGGCACTCTTTATGCGGACCCCGAGGCCCTTCGACTTAACTCAGTCCCTCGAGGTATCCTTAGGCTTTGAGACATCTTGTACGTATCAGTCCTTTTTCATTCGCCAGTGGCTTTCTCAGTCGAGCCTTTAACTGTAACGCGTCCCCTTGGCAGTTAGCCGTTCTTAACTCCTTTTCTTATGCTCCTGCAGCCGAAATCGATGGATTTAGGGAGTTCAGCAGGCTTTCCTCCGACTGGGAGGTGGTCGCTCCTACGTCCGAAGATGACTTCCGGCGTCCCCCCCGCGGTTGTTTTACCTTTTTCATCGATCAAATAATGTCGGGGTTGCGTTTCCCCATCCAACCTGAGCTGTTGTCTCTGAGCAATCTGTACGGCATACCCATAAATCAGTTCACTCCCAACTCGATCCGAATAATGGTGGCCTTCATAGTCATCACCCGTATAGTTTTAGGTAGTTTTATACCCGATTTTTTCCTTTATTGCTACAGCTATAGGTTTAGTAAAGATGCCCATTGTCTGGTTCGTCGAGTAGGCGTGTCTTTTCTTGATGACCTCTCTTCCAATATCACCGAATGGAAGAAGAAATACTTCTTCATTCGACCTACTCCTGGTCAATATCCTTTCTCCAATGAGTGGATTACCAGCAAAACCAAACAACGCAAGCGCCCCGACTCTTTGCAGTTTGCGGATATGTTGGAAGAATTGAATAACCATGTGTGGAGCGCTCGTCAGCTGACTAAGGATAGTTCTTTACTTAGCCATGTCGGTATCCGTGTCGACAAGAGTGTTCCTCGACTTAATGACCCTTGTAAGTCTCTCAGTTTGTCGGTTTTCGCCCCGATTTATTGTCGATTGTTTGGCTTCGTGTGTTTATGTTTGTTTGCTTGTATGCAAGTATGGCTCGTGTGTCTGTTCGTATTAATTTTTTTTTGTGTCGTCAGTAAAAGCTTTGGCCCGTTTTGAGAAGAAGAAGGCCGAGGCGGCCAACAAGTCAGTTGCTCAGGGGTCAGAGGGAGGCTCGGGCTCTGCTGCTCCCATCGCGGCAGTCGAGACGACTGCCTCTAGGAGGTCTAAGGTCGTGCTCCCCTCAGCTTCTAAACCGACTCAGCAGTCGGGTTCCCACTCTCGTAAGAGGCCCCATGACCAAAGGGGCGCAACTCTGGCGCCCAACTCCTCGAAGCGCCCAAAGGAGAAAGGGCCGACAGTTGAGAAAAGTGCGGGAGAGCCCCTGGTCGAAGAAGATGCGAGGCAGTCGTCGCCCGTGAGGATGCAGTCTGTAACCATTCAGCAACCCTCTCGGCTTTATAATAATAAATAAATAATGTATTAATATTATTTCAAAAAAATAAATTATTTAAATTGATATTTTTTAAAAAATAATTATGTTAAATAAAATAATATTGTTTGATTTTAAATTAGTATTTTTATAAGTTAAATAAAATAAATTAAATTAATATTTTTAATTAATATTATTTTAAATTAAATAAATTTTTTTAAGTTAAATAATATTTTTTAAATCAATTTTTTAAAAATAGATTAAATTATTTTGAATTAAATAATTTTTTAAATTAATAATTTTAAAACTAAATAATGTTATTTAGGCTAAATACTATTTTTTAAAATAAAGTAATGTTATGTTATATATATAAAGTTATTTAGATAACATAATATTTTTAAATTAAATAATAATATTTAAACTAATATTTTTAAATTAAATAATATTGTTGAAAATTAAATAAATTATAAATAAAATAAAATTTTAAATTAAATAATATTATTTTAAAATAAATAATATTATTTTTTGGACAAAATGGTCATTTCATGGATAAAAATATTCCACCTATTTGATGAGATTGATATCCAGCTACATATGCATCTTCGTGTGGGACCCAGGTGCCACATACATGCCTAATGGGTAAATCCTAGTCATAATCATGTACAATAAACACATGATAAGGTTGGTTAAGATGGATATTCCATCTCATTTTTGTAAATAAATGAAGATTAGTAGTCCAATCTCATCTTACAAAGTAAAAGAGACCTCACAAAATAAAAGAGACCTTGATATGTAGGACCATCGAATGCCCCTCATTGAAGCCGGATTCTGATAATCCGCAATATTGTTACTAATATTACTTGTGTCTTGATAATTATTTTTTGATTGCAAAGATAAATTGCGAATATATTTTTGTTAATCCGTTATCCGTACCTGTTAACTGGTAATGCACACCGTAAATTAAAAAATAATAATCAAAATATTGAATTTAAATATAATTATCTGAATATTGAAAGCAAAAAGAAAATTATTATATTATAACAAGAAGAATCTCAACTAAATAATAATAAATAAAAGGGAGTAAAACAGCTGGAGTGAGCAAGAAGAGTATAAGGGCAAAAGTCCAATAAGCAGCCCAACCCTTCTCTGTCTCTCTCTCCCCTTCTCCCATTTTCCAACTCCTCTCCTTCTATGGAGGCCCCACCTCCACCCCCGCCACTCGCCGTTGCCCCGACCAACCCCACGGCAGCTGTCTCCCCGGACTCCATCGACTCCTCTCCTCGCTCTCGCCAGACCGACTCCTGGGATGCTGATCCTCCGCCGCCCCAAAGGCTCCGCCTCATGTGCAGCTATGGCGGCCACATAGTTCCCCGCCCCCACGACAAGACCCTCTGCTACATCGGCGGGGACACCCGCATCATCGTCATCGACCGCCACACATCCCTCGCCGACCTTCGCAGCCGCTTATCCAAAACCCTCCTCCACAACCAGCCCTTCACCCTAAAGTACCAGCTCCCCAACGAGGACCTCGATTCCTTAATTTCCGTCACCACGGATGAAGATCTCGAGAACATGGTGGAGGAGTACGACCGCCTCAACAATCCCGCCGCCGCCTCGGGCGTGGCGAAAAGCGGCCGCCTCCGTCTATTTCTGTTCCCCAAGACCTCCTCAAACAACATCGAGCAGCTTCTGGTGGAGACGGCTTCGACCAAATCGGAGGACTGGTTTTTTAACGCTCTCAACGGCAAGGCGAGTACTTTGTCCGCCGGCGCCAGTGACCGTGGCCTCTCGGAGTCTTCATCCATTAATTGTCTCCTTGGATTGGATGACGATTTAGTCGGGAAGACTGCGGTGGCGGCGAAGGATGTCGAGGCCCAAATCGAGGGTTCTAAATCTGGCGGAAATGGGAACAATAACGTGAGTAATCACGATGTGAATTCCGTCCCTGACTCTCCTATGCTGGAAACGACGTCGTCGTTTGGGTCCACCTCGAGTACTCCGTCGGTGGCCAATTTGCCGCCGATTAGGGTTCACGTTGAGGAGAATCCGAAGGTGGGAATTGAGGATCAGTTTCAGCATATGAATTTGGGGGTTTCCGGCAACGTGGTGCCTCAAAAGCTGGAGGAAGCTGGAGGTTTTGTGGCGGCAGTGGGGCCGGTTGTTTCTGGGGTTCCGGTGGTTGTTGGCGGTGACTACCCTAATCTCAATCGGGTTATCTCCGATGATGAAAGATCGGAACAAGGTGGGTACAAAAAGACACAACAGGTTCAGCCACAAGGATTACCACAGCTGCCCATTCCTCAGTTCCAGCAGAGGCAACCTGTGGCCTTTGATTTAGCTTCTCCAGATTCAGTTTCAAGGTACGCTGCTATGTAAATTTATTAAATGTTAAAGAAACTTTACATTGAATTTGTGAATCTCTCCCTATGTGATTTTGTTTCCATTTCTATAAATCAGAACTCTAGAAGTAATATGTTGAATGACTTGATTGATACAGTGAAGGAAGTATGGCAAACCCATTGCAGAGGCAGAGACAAGCTGTGTATCAAGATTCAATCTTGCAATTACAATCTGGAAATACTAGGGTAGCTGTTAATCAACCTGATCCAAATTCCGGGGATCAAACTAATGCTAAAATTCAGATGCAACCCCCCCTAGTCCAAGAATCATCGGGATATGTCTTACATGGCCAGCAATACGAACAAAATCATCCTCAGTTACATCAGCCACAACAATTCATTCATGCTGGTAGTCAATATATTTCTGCGGGACCCGTTCCCATTGCATCTTATTACCCCATGTACCCTCCCCAGCAGCAAAATCATCTGCATCAGCCTGCAATGGATCAGCAATACCCGTTTTATTTCATTCAAGCTAGACATACCCCAGGGTACAATATCCCAATGCAGCAAGCAAATTACAATGAATTAGCGCCAAATGCTCCTTCAAGCCGACCCCAAACGCCTCCTTCAGCCACCCCCCTCGGGACTTTTAATCAAGCTGTAAGCGCTCCTTCTAAGCCCGAAATGGCTACAGGTGTTTATCGGACAGCAATGGGGTCAGGCCCACAATTGATACAGGTCCCGTCTAGCCAGCACCAGCCCCAATACGTTGGGTTCAGTCAGATTCATCATCCATCCCAATCGGTTGCACCCTCGGCGGCAGCTAATTCGAGTTATGCTTATGAGCTAACCGATCCTAATCATGCTCAGATGTATTATAACCAGGCTTTGCCACCACAGGTGGCTGCTCACTATCAGACCCTTACATCAGCCCCTGCTGTGGTTGTACCGGATACATCCGGACAGGTACCTTCGGAGAATATCAAGCAGCAAGTGAGGAATTTGCAGCAGTGACTGGTGAGTTTGGTGTGGATATGGACAATTTTGCCGTTGTGGGGTTTGGTTTATATTTGGAATTTTATATCAGCAATCCGCTTTTACTTATCTTATTGGTTTGTGTGGTATGTATTTTTAATAGGTAATAAAGAACCTTCTGGGATTTTGATCTTCATTATATCTCATGTATGTCATTGCTGTTATTTAGTTAAAGTGGACGATGTTTTATGTGGTTATGTAAAATTCAAAAATGTTTAAAGGATTAAATACATGGTCATCCTTATATTTATTTATATATCAGTTATTGAATAAATATGAGAATGTAAGTCATTGTTAGTTTGTGGTGTGTATTTTGCATTTGGAGCATCTGCAGATTTTCCGTTGATAATACTTAACCGAGCTATTGTGCTTGTTAGATGTATCCATTTGCTTGATGCGTTTCTACATCATATTTTGCAACTACTTTTTCGATTGATTGGAGCAAGATAGATTTACTTTTAAGTTCTCATTTTGTCTATATTATGTTACCCATTGATGTTTGGGATTGTATATGAAGTGATTGTGTCATTGCTTAACATGCCTCCGTATTTACTATTATGACTGCATTACATTCTTTTTATACGTAACATAATGCCAGGCTTCGAATTGCCACATCTATCTCATCACCCTCGGCATCTTATTTCTTTTATGTAATTCGTTTTGCTATTTGTTTCACACATTAAAAAAATCAGGTCACAAATTTCCCTGTTATAAACTAATCATCTTGCTTCTAGCCGTATTACCTCAGTAGGTTCAAATTACTCAAATGCTTTCGTCTCTCCCATCTAAGAATTGAAATATTGCTTTTAGTGCATTTATTAGACATCTCGCCCAAATTTGCATAATCCTAAGTGATGGTGGTGAAATACGAGTTCTTATGATCATTTTTTTTTTCTCGTGCTTATAGCTCGTCTCTGGAGCTTACTACTGACTTTAGTACTTCCGATCCTTGTCATGAGTCGACCCGTGTATCATTTTTTTTGTATGTGTTCATCCTAACCGCTGAATTTAGTATTTCCAATCCTCGTCATAAGTCACCCGAGAACAAGTATTCGTGCATGTTCTCATCGTTTTAAGTTAATATGTTTCTAAAGATCGGATGGCTATCTCAAAGACCATTATTTATTGGCGCTGGTAGTGTGTAGCAGTGTGAAAGTTTGAACACTGAGAATGTTTGCACGCACTTCCATTGAAATAGTTACCGCTGCTATTTGAATATTTATTTGAGCCAAATAAATTTATTACCAAACTTCCAGGTGAGTTGTGATGATCTTGTAGAAGTTTATTACTACTTCCTATTCTTTTTAAATGTTATTTTGACATTATCAACTATTAACAAAATAAATATCGTTTTAGATATGTTATATATATTTTTTCATTATTACCTTCATTTAGCTAATAAATATACTATGTCTTTTCATATTTACTCTTCATCTTTTCTCAAAACATTCATCCTTATCCTTATTAATTTTATTAATTGAGGTTTATTATTGACAAAAAAATATTCTTAATAATTGTGCAAGTTATCAAATGACACTTATTATGAATAGGAGGGAGTAGTAAATAGACATTTGCCTGGGGATTAGAATAGTAAATGGGATAACATGAGCAATGCTTCCCTACCAATGTGTGTATGCCATATAAGCGGTGGATATATTAATACGTGGCCATCGTGGGTAGGAGAGCATTATCTAGAATAACAATGATACGAGGAATATGTAATTTCCTTCGAGAGCAGAGCAAGAATGAAAAAGAACCCGTAAATATATTAAAAATCATCGTTTTTACTTCTGACAAGCAAAAGCAAGAAAGTCTGCTGCTGTTCATGTTGCTACCACCTCTGATTACATGTTGGGGGCATTTAAGAGGTACTTCGAAATGCTGACTATGCCATGTTATGCCCACATCCTCATGCCTGTGTGCATCTATGAATATTTATTATTGATCGAGTTCTATTATAATATATGGATAAATATCAATGGGTTTTGTTATATTAAATGATGTATGTAAATTGTAACAATTAATTGTAATGTAAAAATAGTAAATTTATGACTTATAGTTATGAAAATGTGGGTATGAATAGTAAATTTTATAAAGAAATATGAAGAATAAATTTTCATTAGATTTAACCAAACTCATAAATTTACTAATCTCATTTTTTTCACCATCTCAACTTCTACCATCCCTCTCCCCCCTATATATTAATCCAGAACGCGCTAAGCCTACGTGGCTGCTTCTGGTGCTTTGGAATCCTATGTAACAAATCCGGTTGACTAGTGATTCTCCAAAGTTGTTTGAGCAACAAGGCTTCATTGAACAATTTTATGTCTTGGAAACCCAGCCCACCTTGCTTTTTGGGTAAAGGCAAGTCCCATTTTCTCCAATGTATTCCTTTCTCTTGGCAATGGCCCTTTGACCACCAGAATTGGGCTGTCATTCTAGCAATTTCATTGCAAATTCCGACAGTCAACTTGAAACAAGACATAGCATAAACCGGAAGAGAGTTGATGACGACTTTGATTAACACCTCTTTACCTGCTGTAGATAAATACTTATTCTTCCAGCTCTCCAGCTTTTTTCTTACAGATTCAATTACAAACTCAAATGCCTCTCTCTTGGATTTCCCAATGCCAAAGGGGAGTCCCAGGTATCGAGAAGAGCTGTGAGCAGTCAGGCCATCTAGCACTTCACATATTTGAGTTCTGGTTGGAATAGATGTATTTTTGCTAAAGAACATTGTGGACTTGGATAAATTGATCTTTTGCCCTGAGAATCTTTCATACATGTGGAGAAGATATGTTAGGAGGACTGCATGCCCCTCATCTGATTTACAGAAAATTAAGAGATCGTCTGCAAATAATAAGTGAGTCAAAAGGGGGCCTCTCCTTGCCAGTCTTAACCCTCTTAAAATTCCACCATCTGCAGCAGTTCTAATTAGAGCAGAGAGGGCCTCGGTAACAATCAGAAAGAGATAAGGAGATATGGGGTCTCCTTGTCTCAATCCTCTAGAAGGAGTTACATATCCCACAACCTCTCCATTAAGCATAAAAGAAAAAGAAGCTGAAGTCACACAGAACATAATCCACTTAATAAAAGTCTCAACAAATCCCATTTTAACCATTAAAGCACATATGCAATTCCATTTAACTCTGTCGTAAGCTTTCATCATGTCAAGTTTAAGCGCCATAAAATTATGCTTACCAGAGCGATGTCTATTCAGATAGTGATAGCATTCCTGTGCTATTATAACATTATCGAGCATTTGCCTTCCCGGTATAAAAGCCCCTTGAGCTGGACTAATACAAACCTGCAGGCAAGATTTAAGCCGAGATGCCAGAATTTTGGAGATGATTTTGTAGACCACCGCGCACAGGCTAATAGGTCTATACTGGTTCCGAGAGACTGGGTTATCGCATTTGGGAATCAGGCACACCAAGGTGTGGTTCCAGTATTTAATAAACTTACCTCTTTCAATAACTGGCCAAAAATGCTGGTAGAAGAGTGCGATCATACCTTCTTCTCCCGGAGCTTTCAGAGGGTTCATTGAGAACAGAGTATTTTTTATTTCTTCATCTTCCACCCCTCTGTTAGCTCATCATTCATCTCTTGAGTTATAGTTGGAGGGATAAGTTGAATTATTCTGTCACCATCTTGAGACCCTTCTGATGAAAACAATTGATTATAGAAGTTGGAGATGTGGTTGGTGAGCTCCTCCTTGGTTTCAAAGATACAGTTGCTATAATCTCTGAGCCTTGTTATAGCGTTTCTTCTCCTTCTTTGCACAGTCACCGCATGAAAAAACCGGGAGTTTTGGTCCCCTGCATTCAGCCAAAGATTTCTTGATTTTTGTTGCCAGAATATCTCTTCAGAGCAGTGAGCCTCATCAAGCTCTCTTTTAATGGTCTCCCATTCCTCCCAGTTCTTGCATTCCCTATTGTTTTCATCTCCTCTAATTGTAAAGTGAGAGCTTTAATTTTCTTTTTGTTGTCAGATTTCCCTTCCTTACTCCAAGCAGATAGGGCTAGCCTGGTGACTTTGATTTTCTCTTTCAACTTGAAGAATGGAGTCCCCAGTTGATTTTGCTCCCAGCTCTTTCTTACAACATCCTATATTCTTTGCCTGGATATCCAGCTCTTGTCAAATATAAATCTCCTCTTGCCTTTCCTTTGACTGGATTCTACCTGGAGCAGTAGCATATCGTGGTCCGATGCACTCTTGTAGCAGTTGGTGACTTGGGAATGTGGGAATCTAGCCAGCCAACCAAGAGAGCCAAATGCATCGTCTAATTTTTCTTCCATCATGCCTTCTTCAGTTCTGTTATTGCACCACGTATACTGGTATCCCTTCATCCCAATTTCAGTCATGCCCATCTGGGATATGAAATTTTGAAAAGGCTTCAAGCTAGTGGCTGATCTCTGTCTCCCTCCTTTCTTATTTTCAGCCAAATGAAGATCATTCCAGTCCCCAATGAGACACCAATCCTCTCCCCAGTTATGTTTCTCAGCTTCAAGCTTTTGCCATTGCTCAATTCTGGTGGATAGTTCTGTGCTCAAATAAACAATAATAATCCAGCAAGGGTCTGCCTCCTCAGATAATTTGAACTGCACTTGCATACAAAAGGAATTCTTCTTTATGGACAAAATATTAACATTCATATCCCAGCAAAGAAGCAGACCACCTCTACTTCCCTCTGGTTCCATCATACAAAACCTGTCAACAAAGCCTAGCCTTTTACAGACATTAGTAGTAATTTTTTTGTTTTTTTTGTTTTTTTTT